GGGCTGTAGGGCAGTCCTCTGTGCACCTGACCCAGGGTTCTCAGGTCAGGGAAGTGTACTTGGTGGGAGGTCTGGTGAAAGAGCCTCTGTGGCTCCTGATTGGTCAGCCTGCGCATCAAAGGGGAGTTACATTGCTGTCTAGGAATCAGTCAGCCTGGGGTGGGCAAGGGCTGTCCAGGACCAAGGCCTCAAAGGCCAGAGCATCAAGACCACAGGAGCACGGGCATGCAGCAGATATAAGCAGGACAGTGGGGAGACTCACCCTAGAGATGTACATCAGATTCTGTTTAGGGAGAAGGGGGAACGAACAGAAAGGCGCTGGTTCTGAAGAAGTCCCAGAGCAGCAGTGGCTGTCCCTCCCCCACCCCCAGTTGGCCAGAGCAGGAACTGAACACCCTACCCTGGAGCTAAAGGCCTAGGCAGAGAGAGTGGGCCGAGTGGAAAGAAAACAGGCCTGAGGTCCACAGGGAGTACTCAGGAGCCCGTCCTCCTGACCTTCCATCTGGAAGCCCAAGGGCCTTCTGGTGGGCACTGCAGCCTCAGGGTGTAGCCCAGCTCCCAGTGAGTCCAACCCACTCAACTCCTCCTGGCCACGCCCCTTGGCCACAGCCAGCTCTGCCTGAGGGGAACAGGGTGCACCTTCCCAAGCCCTGACCCCCACCTGCCGCTCCTGCCACACACACCCTCACAGGAGCCAGACTCTCCCCTTCTCCAGGGATGGGCGCCGCGAGACCCCCAGGACCTCCCCCAGAGACTGGTCCCAGGCCCTTCYCTTTTCAGACACTCCAGCCCACCTCCTCTGTTCTCTGTGGGTTCTGCTGGCAACGGTTCCATTTCCAGTTTCACTCTTGAAGCCAACAGGTGCCCCCTTCAGAGCCTGAGGAGCCCCCACTGTGGCAGTCCTGGCCCCTCCCCACCCTTCCCCCTGCCCTTCTTAGTCCTGTGGTGGGGCCTCAGAAACCATCTGCCGGGCTCCTGGGGACAGAAGTTCTGAAAGACCTAGACCTGACCCTCCACACACCACTGCCCATGGACAGCCCTCCCTAAGACAGGGAGCCAGCAGGGCCTCCCCTGCCCAGTCCTTGCCTTTCTGCAGGGCCAGGAAGCCCATACCCAGCCAACTCCAGGCAGTCGTAGTGGAGAGGAGGCTCTGGCCAGCACACAGCCCATTTCACTCATGTTAGAACTGCTGGGCCACAAAGGTCATCTCCCTTGGGGTGTAGAACACTGGGAACCTCTGCCTTGTGAATGTCCCAAACATAAACCAAAATGCCGTGTCTCTGTGTCCCAGAGGGTGCAGTGTGAGACCCTGCCAGGACCTGCCCCTTCCCTTCCCCAGGACCTTCACTCTGAGTCCACTGAACTGGATCTGATCAGCCCAGCTATCAACCTCAGGAGAGTTCTCTAAGGCTGTCCAGCACTTCTCGTAAGCCATGCCTCCCTGGCTGCCCCTTCCAGCCCACRGGATAATCCAGGAGAATCTCATAATGCAGCTGCACCTGCACAGTCCCTGCACCACACGGGCCATGGCCTGGGTCCAGCACCAGCACAGGCTGTGCCCTCAGTGGCCGGCATCAACACCTCTCTTGTCCAGTTGATGCTCCAGGTCCCGGGAGAGGTCCCACAGCTGGTATCGCACCRGACGCGTGTCAGACTTGCACTGCCTCTGCAAGCCCTCTGGGCCTCCCTTCCTCCTGCACCCAAGCCTCCTGGGGTTTTTCCCTTCTGCATGAAGGACATTGCTTGCTGTTTCCTTAAYTGGAAGTTGATGGTGGCAAACCTCGGAGTTTCTTTAAAATGTTTCTGTTCAACCTTTTTTTGGAGGGGGGCGGGGGGATACTGTAGTTTTCGACAGTCTCACTAAATTGCCCAAGCTGGGCTTGAACTTGCCATCCTCCTGCCTCAGCCTCCAGAGCTGGGACTGCAAGTGCTTKCCACCCTACCCTGCCTGGAGAATGTTTCTGCTGGGTTTTGATTTCCTCTCACTGTTGGCCTACTCTAGGCAGCGTAAGTCTCCCACCATCTGCTGGTCAGCACTTCTGCTGAAAGGCCAGGGTCCCTTCACTGCTGGGCCCTAAAAGTGGAAGGTCTCTGGCAGCTTCTTATATCCCCTTGGTTTTGGCCTTGGCTCTTACATCCTGGGCTGATAGGATTCTGCTGTCTTCCCGGTTGGGCCTCTGCAGCACCCCCTGACCCGTGGCCTGGGTCTTGAGCGGTCAGTTACCACCACAGTCCCCTTCCTCGCTGCTGGAACACGCGCAGCACTGTTTCTGCTCCGCTCTGCCTCGTTTCCAGGTGGGGAAACTGAGTTGGATCTTCTCCCTGTGTTTGTTCTGTAGTCTCCCCTATTTTTCTGTTTAGTGTGAATTTAACCTGTGCTCTGTCTTCTAGTTCTTCTTCTTTTTAGGTGTAAACTGCAGTTAAACCAACCCATTACATTTTTGACCCATTTGTTGAGATATGACTTACATACAATAAAACAGATCAATTTAAATTGTGTGATTCAACAAGTTTTGAGTAAGTCTTCTTGAGATACTTATGGATTTTTTCAATATTTCCAGGTTGAAAAATGTAAAATAGAAAATTTGCATATTTTTCTCCTAGGTCAACTGTTTTCGATGCATTTTTTTTTTTTTTTTTTTTTGGTGGGACTGGAACTGGGGGTGGAACCCAGGGATTCTTACCCACTGAGGCACATCCCCAGCCCTTTAAAAAATACATTTTGTTTAGAGACAGGGTCTTGGTGAGTTGCTTAGGGTCTCACTAGGTTGGTCTTGCGATCCTCCTGCCTCAGCCTCCTGAGCCAGGGATCACAGGGGTGTGCATGGTGCCCATATATCTTACTCTTTATATGAGACAATATCATTGTTTTCTGTTTTAGTTTTCAGAGCCATTTTGGATACAGACATCACGACCTTTCACCTGTAAACACTTGAGCATGATCTGGAAAGAACTAGAGCAGTCTGTCCACAGCCCTGACCAGAGCCTTTGAGGCTGGCATTTCAGAGCCCCCACGGCACACACTCCCAGGGGCGAACTGTCCAGTGAGGCCCTGTGCAGCCACCCGTGCCTTATTGGGGACCTGTCTCAGCACATGCATCAAGGACTTTGTGGCCCTCGTTTCTGCAGGTACCTGCTTTTCTCCTGGCAGATGGCTGGGTGGCAGGTCATTTGATTCACACAGGGTGGAGGTGATCCAGGGTGGACTTCAGTCCCTGCCAGGCCAGTTCTCTTCTGTTCACCTTTACTTTAACGTGTGGCCCTTGCGCCAGCTCTGACTTCCGTCCTGGGGTCCCCGTGAAGCTGCCCAAGCTCCACGCAGTGCGAACACTGGCCCTGCCTGGCCACGCTGGAGTCTCCTCCCCAAGCCRGCGTTGTTAGATCCCTGCTTGTAAGCCCTGCTCAGAAGACACTCTGCCCTGCCCACTTGGGTTTTCACCCGGATTCCTGGCTGCTAGCTCAGTTCTTTGATGCTCGTGAGTCTGTTTTACAGTTTCACACGGTTCAGCCTGTGTCCATGCGGGCTGCCTGGTGCACTTCCCTCTCCGCCTCTTTCAGGCCTTTCAGTTTTTTAATTTAAAGGGTTTTTTTTTTTTTTTTTTTTTTTTTTTTTAAGAGAGAGTGAGAGAGGAGAGAGAGAGAGAGAGAGAGAGAGAGAGAGAGAGAGAGAGAGAGAGAGAGAGAGAGAGAGAGAGAGAAATTTTTTAATATTTATTTTTTAGTTCTCGGCGGACACAACATCTTTGTTGGTATGTGGTGCTGAGGATCGAACCCGGGTCGCACGCATGCCAGGCGAGCGCGCTACCCCTTGAGCCACAACCCCAGCCCCTAAAGGGGTTTTTAGAATTGATTTTTGTATTTTATTTTCCTCCCTTGATGTTTTGGAATTTATACATTGTTTTTTCTCTTTTAAATGGCTAATTATGACATCTTACCTTGAAATTTTAAGAGGATCCAGTGTTAAAAATATGTTAACCTCCTCCTGCCAAAAAAAGTTCCCAGAACTTTAATCCCTCCTTCTGATTCCGCTGCTGCTGTCTGGGTATTCAGATTCTGTTTCTAATCCTTCATTCCTTCCTTCCTTCCATTGTTTTATACAATGTTCCCTTGGATTGCTACATGTATCAGGCTACTCTTGTGGGGAAACTTTCATGCTGCAGAACCTGCCTCAGAAATACCCTGGGTACAGGCATCTTGGGGAAACTGCCAGTGTTCTTCCATCTCCAAGTATATTGATCCAACCCATCCCCCCATTAGTCCATTTTATGTTACTACAATGAAATACCCAAAGCTCAGTAGCTTTATAAAGAAAAGAGGTTTATTTAGCTCCTATATTTGGAGGCTGTGAAGCAGCATAACACTGGCTCTGGTGAGAGCCCCCTGGCAGATGGCAGGGATGCCTGTGGGAGTGAGAGATCACATCTCAAGACAAGAAGCTAGAGACATTGGGATCCCACAATCCCTGGGGAGGGCAGGGCCCCAGCATCTAGGATCCACCTCTGCCAGGTCCCACCTCCCACATCACCACCCTCAGGATCAAGCTCCCAGCTCCTGGACCGCGGGGTGGTGAGCTGCACTGTGCCCCAGCACCCCACTCCTGTGGTTCTCCCACCACCGTGCAGTGGTCCTGGCTTCCTGCCCCCACTGCCCCTGTCTCCTTCGCCACTGTCAGTCCATGGCCTTCCTCTGCAGGTGACCTGAACTTTTCTTCTGGTTCCTCTTAAAATCTTGCTGCGAACTTTCTTGGTTTCCAGTTCTGCTACAATAGGTCCAGGTGAGAGTCACCTCTGATGGATTCTGCCCGGCACATGTACTTTCTGCTTCACAGGCTTAAGTTTCACACGAGTTACTGCTTAGCTTTTTTCCCCCCCAGTACTAGGGATTGAACCCAGGGGTGCGTTACCCCTGATCTACACCCCAGTCACTGTCGTCGTCGTCGTCCTCCTCCTCCTCCTCCTTCTTCTTTTTTTTTTTTTTTTGAGATGGATCTTGCTAAATTTCTAAGGCTGGCCTAGAACTTGCAATGCTGCCTCAGCTTCCCAAGTGCTGGGAACACAGGCCTGTGTGGGTGACGCTCTACCTGGCATCTGCCCAGGACTCGGGTGGGACGCCTCTCTCTTCTTCTCCTTGCTCTCAACGTCTCCGCCACCGTCTCGGTGCCCCTCTGCCTCTAGGTCAGCTCTCCAGACCTGTCTGCCCAGTAGGCCTGCCCCAGCTGTGCCCTGAGCTCCCTGCCAGGGATGTGCTTCACCCCAGGATCCATCCCTTCCCAGCACCTGCTCTGCCCCAAGTCCCTTTTCTCCATCAATCTTCCCTTTACAGCTGTCCGGGTGACCCAAGATTTAGAATCTCCGTCCAGAACTGTGACCTTGGCGGCTCGGGGATGAGCTCCGCTGTCCGGGGAGGGGGAAGGGGGCAGGGAGGGGTTTTCTCCCTGTCATGAAACCTGACTGCTGAGCTGCCCGTTGCTATAGCCTACCTGCTGGTGTCCAAACTTCAGATCTTAAGCTTTACACACCTCTGAGCTTACCTCCCCAGGACATCAGCCGCTCATCAGCTGTCCATTAGAAGTAGCTACCTGACTCCTCAAAGACAGCGCGGCCTCTGGCCACACCTGTTCCGGTGCCCCTCTGAATCCTTCTCACCCCCACCTCCAATCCCTCAGGCCTCACAGTGGGCCCTGACCACTTCACGCAGCCCCTGCCCTGCTCTAAGACCCAGTCGCTCTTGGGCCACCCGCCGAGCATTTCTGAGACGCTCTCCCAAGGCCACCACCCTCACAGCAAGGCGGGGTCGCAATGCCGGTTCCGCAGGGACACAGGGGACCTGCGTAGTGCTCCAGGAAGAGGGCCTCCAGCCGCCGCCCCTCCAGGCCGCGAGGCCCCGCCCTCGGCCTCCKCCGCGGCGGTCACGTGGGTGTCCCCCGCCGGCGGAACGGCTGGTCTGACCCTCTGGTCCTGCAGGTGGGGAGCGGCCAGCGCCTGCGGCCATGAGCCCCCGCGCCGCGCGGCTCGCGGTCCTGGCCACCCTCCTGGCCACCGCCCTGGCCGAGGCCCCGCACCTGGTGCGCGTGGACGCGGCGCGCACGCTGCGGCCCCTGCGGCACTTCTGGAGGAGCACCGGCTTCTGGTGAGCCACCCCGCGCTGGCCGCTGAGGCCCGGGAGGCCCCCAGAGCAGGCGCCCACCTAGCTGCTGAGGCCCCCTGTCGCATCTGGGGAAACCCTCGGGCTCACCGCCCTTCACACTGTGGGCCCTAGGGAGTCAGGACACACCAAGCTACTTCGTCGTGGCTCAGGTGGGGGTCTTCTCTCCTCTCCCCTCCACTCCAAGTTTGGGGTGTCTGGGGCTTTACTGAATGGGTACTCTCTGTGCTGGATATCTGCGGTCAGCCCTGAGCTTTTCCTGGCGCCAGGAGTCTGAAGAGTCCTGGTGGGTACTTAGGCTGTGAGCTCAGGATGCCCTCTTCCTGACTCCCCAAAAGGGCAGCCCAGTGGTTTGGGGGCTGACTCCCACCCCTGGGTGATACCAGCATCCTCCTTGGAGAGTTGAGACCCTTCCCTGTCTGGCAGGGCGAGTGTCCTGTGGGAGCTCCCAGCCCACCAGGACAAGACCACATGGCATTCCTGGTGGAGGGGTCATTTTATCACTCGCTGGCCGCACTGGCACCATGTCTACTGGGCGGGCCTGGGCAGGCAGGGCCAGATGTGTGGAAGCTGCTCCACTGTAGCCCCCAGGGTGAACACAGAGTACCTTGTCCTATCCCCAGTCCCCCACTGCCACATGAGCAGGCTGCCCACTACGACCTCAGCTGGGACCAGCAGCTCAACCTTGCCTACGTGGGTGCTGTCCCTCATGGTGGCATCAAGCAAGTCCGGACACATTGGCTGCTGGACCTCATCACAGCCAGGTGGGTGATGCTGGGGCAGGCATACTGGGCTGCTGGCCAGAGCCCACCTTACAGAGACACTGAAGAGGTAGGCCTGGTCTTGTGGGCCAGCTGTGGAGGACAGTGCAGGGCAGCGGGGAATGGCATCATGGGGAACAGAGCTGGGGGCTGCTCTGAAGACACATAGCCCTGCACAGGCCTTCCTGTCAGAGCCTCCACTGGGGAAGGCAGGAGGGGGACATCCTGGCTGGTAATGCTGGAAGCCCACTGTGTGCCCAGAGGCCCTGGATCCCTGGAAGGGGCCTAGCTGGGTTTGCCCTGGAAGTCACTTTGGAGGTTAGTATCTGGCTGCATTTGCTGCACCTGGTTCTGGTGTGAGGACAGGTGCTCCAGGCTGCGTGGCCATTGGCAGAGCTGTGCGGGGACAATGCACCTGAGGGCTGGACCAAGGTAGCTCTCCCACCTTGTCCCTGACACTGGACCAGCCATGCAAGTCTTGGCCAGAGGTGAGCACCAGGTGTGAGGAGCACTTGGGTATGGTGGCCTTCCAGAAATAGGCCCTGGTGCCCATGGTCCCTTGTCCAGCTCCTCCCTGTGAGGCAGGGGCTGGGTAGGCCCAGGGCTGGGGTGTCCTTTTGACGCCCTGAAGGCCACACCATTTGTGGGAATCTGACATAGAGTGTCAGACCGGGCATGGTCTCTCTGAGTTTGGGCCGAGGGTCCGTGTGTGTTGCCGGCACCAGGGTGGCAGCACAGGTTTTAGGCCGAGCGTGTGGGGTTCTCATGTGTGTTCGAGTGCTGCCCTTTCCCTTTTCAGTTGAGGTTCCCTGGCTTCTCTGTGGCAGAGGTGGCCCAAGATTGCATCCTTGGGTGACTCTAGCCCTTGGCAGGCTCCTGGAGAAGGAACTTAGTGATGGCTGATGGGGGGGAGTGGATGCCAGAAGACCCCGGCCCTGCTAGAGGGCAGAGTCAGGAACCACGAGCTCCCCACGGCGGGCACGGGCGGCCTCCACAGCGCTGTGCACGCTGGGGAACAGCTGCTCATCCTCAGAGCCCTGGTCCTCACCGAGGAAGCCCCCTCTCTTCAGAGCATCCCTCACTGAGGGGTTGCAACAGGCCAGAAGCAGGGTGACCCCTAGGGCCCAATAATCACGGCGAAGGTCCTTCAGTGTGGCCATGCCAGCCACATCCAGGAACAGCAGTGGGGCACAGTCAATGACCACCGTGTGGAAGCCAGTCACCATGGGCACCAGCCTGGCCCTGCTGGTCATTGAACCCAGGTCCTTGCCATCAACTGGCTCTCCCTCTCCAGCCCCCATCTCTGAGCCTGGCTCCCTCCTTGTGGCAGCTGAGCGCCCCGCATCCAGCCCAGTAAGGCTGTAGAGTGACCGCAGGAAGAAGTCCTTGTTGGCATAGTAGAGAGGCCCTGCAAAGCGGAACACCTGCACCCCAGGCTGAGGCACAAGGCCCTCGAACTCCGTGGCATCCTCGTAGAAGGCCGAGTCCCCAATGCGGGCCAGCAGGGCCGCCCGAGGGCGCTGTGTGCGGCCTGCCAGGCTGAGCAGTGAGAGGAGCACCCCAGCGAGCAGCCCAGCCTCAGTGGTGACTAGCACGCAGGTGGCCGCAGTGGCCACCCACACCAGCGCATCTGCTGGGCTCAGCCGCCACAGCCGTGGGAGGCCCCTCACCTTTCGAAGAGCTCCCCGCAGGCTGACGACGATGATGCAGGCCAGCACGCTCCGCTGCAGGTCCCAGAACAGTGGGGCCAGCACCAGCAGCACCAGCAGCACCACAGCAGCACTGACCACACTGGAGAGCTGTGTCCGGCAGCCGGTGGCTGTCTTCACTAGGCTCTTGGAGAGCGCTGCGCTGGTGGCAAAGCAGTGGAAGAAGGCGGGCAGCACGTTGCAGCAGCCCACGGCCAGGAGCTCCTGATTGGCGCGGACGGAGTAACCATGGCTGCGGGCAAACATCTCCGCCAGCGAGATGGAGAAGGCCGAGCCCACCAGGGCCAGGGACACTGCGTCCAGCGCCACACGCTGCATCAACCTGGGGTCTGGTGCCTGTGGGGCCACGAAGCCAGTGGGGATGTCGCCCGCCACGCTGGAGCCAAAGCGCCTGTGGAGCTGCCCAAAGTGGGAGACCAGTGTGGCCACCACGATGACCAGCAGCTCCGTGGGCAGYGGCACCTTCAGGCGGTGCCGGCAGCGGTCTGAAAGTTCTTTAGCCGCTAGAAGCACTGCCAGGCACACGGCGCTGGTGGCCACGTCACACAGGTTGGCCTGCGCCAGGCTTTGCAGCAGGCTTAGCCACGTGCTGATCACCATGCCTGGGCCCTGGTGCCGGGGCACCCGCACGCCCAGCATGTGCCTGAGCTGCGAGGTCAGGATCGTCACGGAGGCCCCCATGGCAAAGCCGTCGAGCAAGGGCTGAGAGAGGTAGGTGGACACGAAGCCCAGCCTAAGGACGCCCATGAGGACCTGTGGACAGAGTGCAGTCAGCACGGAAGGCCCAGGCAGAGACCTCACTGCCTGTCTGCGGCTGGTGCAGCCTGTGACCTGCTGGCTTCCAGAGTGGGACCCTCCTTTGGCCCCTGTGATCTGGACAGGCGCATGCCAGCAGACCTGACACACGTGGTGTTGCGTGTCAACAGGTGACTGTGGGCGTCATGTCTCACCTGCTGCTACTGGAACTAGACTTGTTCAGGGGTCACGGCTCTGGTGTCAGAAGGCAGCCCCTTCCTTCTGTGTCCTGCCCAGGCACAGCCCGCCCCCTCCCAGGCAGGGAAGGGACCACAGGAGGGATCAGGCAGACAGCCTGGGAAGGGGCAGATGGGGGTGGGGAGGCCATGGGAAGCATCCCCACCCAAGCTCACCTGGGACAGGAGACCCAGGAGGCCGTGGGGCTGCGGCCCAGCTGTCTCAGCTACAGCCAGGCTTGGCCCAGCAGCCCCACTCACGCTGCCGCTGGCCAGGCCAGCTGCTCGGGCCCCTCCTGTCTGCATCCACAGCCCCTGGGGTCCTAGGCATGGGTCACCCTGTGTGCCCACCTCTGCCCTTGCCTTGCCCTCTAGGAGGCCCTGGCCTCAAGGTGAGGGAACCTCTCTGGTCCTGACCTGTACTTCCCCATGGCCTTCCGTGGTGGTGGGCAGCAAGCCCCTGAGCAGGAGCAGCTGAACCAGCCAGCCCTGCCTCCCATGCAGCTCCTCACCTGGTAGATGCCAGCCACCAGCGTGAGGGCGGTGGCGACACGGATGGCGTGGCAGTCCCGCCCGCAGCCTGGTGGCCCCAGCACCAGGGAGGTGGTGGAGCTGTTGAGGGTGCTGCTGTTGCCCTGAGGCCCCAGGCTGTCCTGGGAGGGGTCGAAGCCAGCCAGCTGGAGCTCGCGGTCCACAACCTGCCCCACCATGAGGCACAGGAGGCTGAAGATGCCCACGTTGACGTGGCGCGAGGTGCCCATGAGGAAGTAGATGAGGTTGGCAAAGAAGGATGTGTACAGGCTGTAGATGGGCTGCAGCCCGGCCAGCAGGGAGTAGGCAATGGCCTGTGGCACCAGGATGATGCCGATGACCAAGCCCGACATGACGTCGCCCGCCAGATCCTCCCGTGGACAGTACTCACGCAGCCAGCGTGTGGCGGGCACCAGGCTCTGCACCAGCGCCCAGGCTCGTGGCACACTGCAGGTGCAGCTCCGCCACAGCCTGGCCTTCAGCCTCTCCAGTGGACGCTTCTGCGCAGGGGGCTGCCGGCGGACTAGCACCAGCCCCCTGCCCTGCTGCRGGGACTCAGGGGCTGCCTCCATCCTGCAGCACCTGGCACCACAGACCAACCTGCAAGGGAGAGTCGAAGTGGTCAGGGCCTTAGTCCCCTCATGGATCCAGGAGCCAGCGCCCAGCTGGTGCTGCAGGTCCACCGGGCAGAGGGCAGGGGTTGCCTGCCAACAGCAGGCCCTGGATGGAGGGATGCTGGGTCTCAGCTCCCACACCCTGTTTCTGGAGAGATGTGGGCAACAAGCCACGTGCCTCCTGTGAGCCCGATGATCTCAGAAATTGCCCAGAGACGTTCTGTCCAGGCTTGCCTGGCCTGTGGGCTCTGCAGTTCCTGCCGGAAATCCACCCCAAAGCATCCTCAAGGTCCTCCCCAAGGGAGAGGGAAAGGGCCTCCACCTGTACACACAGGCCTCAGGCCCAAGGGTGTCAGCGGCAGATGTGGCTCAGCTGCCCTCGCTACTTCCCTTGGTCCATGGTTTGGTGAAGAGCCCTCCTGTCCACCCCATACTCACACCCAGACCATCACCACTCTACAGTGGACAACACAGAATAGTGGGGCAGAGGGCCTCATGGATGCCAGGGACCCAGATCTGTGCCTCTCCCACCTGTCTCTCCAACAGCCCCCCAGGGTCAGAGAAAGTGCTTAGAGACCCCACCAGGCCAGCTGGGACCGAGTTGAGGCAGCTGGCATCTGTCTCCCTGCCCAGCCAGCATGCCACTCTGCAAACAGCAGGCCTGGCCATCCCTGCACCTTCTGACCTGCCTGGGTGAGCGAAAGTGCAGGGTGTCAGGGGCGGAGCTTAGAGGCCACACTGACCACAGTTGCGACCTTGGGCCTGTCCTCCTCGGGCTCCAAAGTACCTGTTTTCAAAATCCCCTTCATAGCAATCTTAAGCAAATACTCTCTGGCCCTTAGAGCCCAGGGCACCAAGGCACCTGTGAGGAGCCACTGCTATGGCTGGCCCTGGGCAGCCTCTGGGGAGAGTGGGGAGGTGGTCCTAGCCTGGCAGGCCACATGGTCCCCAGCAACAGTGAGAGCAGTGAGCCCTTCCTCCCAAGCCCCTGCCACAGGGGTCTCTGGCATCTCGGTGCTCACGCAGGTGCCTAGGGCCCAGGCATACAGAACGGGACTGCAAATGCTCCTGTCTTGCGCCCCAGTCTCTCAAGGAAACTGCCGGAGCCAAGCCTCCCTGCTCCTTCCTGGCTGTCCAGTGCCTCTGCTGTGGCAGGTGGTCGGGTGCAGGGATGATTCTTACCTGGTGGTGCCCACAGGCTTGGTGGCCCTCAGAATATGGAGGGGCTGAGGCCTGCTGGCCGGCTGGCCCTCCAAGCCCTCTGGGACAGCGGGTCTGAGGCTGACCTGTGAGAAGCACTGTGTGTGTCGGACCTGCAGTTCAATTATTTACCCCAAAGAGAGCTGAGTCATGGGTTTCCCCCGGCCAGTGCTACCTGAGTGCTGATCCAGTGAGCCAATCCCGAGAGTCAGACTGTAATCGGAGCCTCACACATAATTATAGTTGTAGGGGCCTCCAGTGACCACCACCTTCTTGGGGGCAGCCACCCTGCTGGGAGGGGTGGGATGAGTGGCTGGAGCAGGGTGCCCAGTGTCTCAGACCTGGCCAGAGGCGAGCACAGCACCCCTGGCGGGTGGGGAGGCAAGGCCCCTGTCCAGTTGCTAGATGTTATCCATTCTGTCAGGAGCCTGGCCTGGTCCAAGCTGGAACAGGGGAGGCACAACAGCCAACTGGGCACAGTGTGACCATGTCCCCAACCTCTGTCTTGGGTCCCTGTGAGGAAACCAGACCCAGGCTGCTGGTGTGTGCACACATGTACTCCTGTGAAAGGTGTGCCTCCTGTGAAAGGTGTGCCTTCTGGCTCTTGCCAGAGGGGGTCCTATGTGTGACTGTGGGTGGGCTCCTGGTCCCCATGCAGCTCACCCTCTCCTCTGAAGCAGGGTGGGACCAACAGCACCTGCTTTGTAGGGCTGGCTGAAGATAAGTGGCCCCTTAGAAGGGATTAAGCCAAGTACTCAGGAGTGGCCCAAAGTGAAGGAACTAAGGTGGGTGGCTGTCTCTACAGTGACTTTTCAGAACCCCAGGCCCCATCTGGATAGGAGTGGGCTTATGGGGACGTCGCTATGCGTCAGGAGGCTTGGCTCTGGGGCTGCGGGGGCTAGGTGCTCTTCCATCCTGCAGGGAGGCCCCACAGATTGTGGTCGGCCCCTCCAGTGGGACTGGGAGGTGCAGTTGGCCTGGCCTGCTGTGCCTGCGTGGCTCTGGGCACAGTGAAGCCACCAGCCCTCTCTCTTCCCCAGGGAATTAGGATCAACACGTGTCTTGTAACACCAGCTGGGATCCTGGGCTCCTCCCCCAGGAGGAGACAGTAAGATGTTGAGGTGGGGAGCAGAGCCCCAGGGGGAAGCAGCTCCCAACCAGGGCCCACCCTGGAACCTCGTCCTGCAAGCCAAGCTCTGCTTCCTGATGCCATGGGCCTGGCCAGGGAAGACCAGCAGCCCTGTCTGGGGACTAAATGGGTGTGGAATTAGGTGGGTGGAAGGAAGCCTGAGTGGGAGATGAGGTTAAGCTGGATACCCCACCTTTGTTACCATAGCCCCCACCCATGCCCTCTCCAGATCTGATTGCTGCTGCTGGAGGACCCTGCCCAGGACCCCACCATCTCCCCTGCCTCTGCAGGGGCTCTGCCTTCCTCCTCCTGGACCCCAGTCCTGAGGGGCCCACTGTTTGCCCAGTGGTTGGGAGTGTGGCTTCCAGTGGGTGTGGTGGGGGTGAATCGCAGCATGCCTTCTGAGGCAGATAAGGGACCCTTCTGCTGTCCAGAAGGCAGCTACTGGGCGTCATAAAACTCTCATCTGCCCAGTTACCCCTGGAGGGGCAGTGAAGAACTACCCAGGAGGCCACCAGGGCTGAGTCACTTTCCTGGGGTCTCTCTGGAGATGGCAGGATGGATCCTGGGTCCACAGGGCAAGGTGGGGGGTGTCACCTGGGCAGTACARAACAGTGTAGGGGCAGCCTCTCCCCCCTCTGTGGTCTGGCTGACAGGTTTCCGGGCTCCGCCTGCCCTGCCTGGTAGGGGTGTCTCCGCAGGGGAGATGCAACTGTGGTCACACCTCCAGACTCCAGGCGAGAGAATAGGAGGGCCCTTGGGACTTAGGGCTCCCAGCCCCCAGCCGCGGTTTCTCTGTGTTGAGGTCAGGACCACTCCCCACCCGCAGCGCGCCCGGGAGCCACAGGCTCCCTCGCTCTCAGCTGGGCCCACTCAGGGCAGCGACTTGTGGTCCGGCGCCTTCAGTCCGCCGGGACCCCGCTGCATGCCTATCTCGTCCAGTGCGGCCCCGTGATTTCCTTCGTTTTATCCTTTAAGCGTGCAGCGGGGTTCAGAAGACCCCAGCGGGGCAGAGATGCAGGTTCTCCCCGCCTCCGAGCTTGGGCGGCCTCTTTCCCACGCCGGGAGCGCGGCCTGGCTCCGCCCCGTTCCCCACCCTCAGGGCGCGCGGCCGCTGCCCACCCTGCGCGTCTCTCCCACGCTGCCATCCCACCCTCAGCGGAGGCGCGGGCGGACGAGCTCACTGCCCTGACCCTCGCCGCACGCGCGGACCCGCCCGCTCATCGACCCCCGCTGCATGCACCCCCTGCAGGCCGCCCACCCCCCAAAACGCGCGGCCCGGCCCGCTCACCCCTCCACCGTGCGGACGCCCCAGTGCCTGCGCGCCCCCGTGCACGCTTCCCCGGCCGTGTCACCTCGCGCACCCGCCTAGCCCACCCGGGCCGCCCGCCCTCACCCCAGCCGCGTGCACTCACCGCGCCGCAGCGGCTGYGTTCTAGCGGCGCACGCGCTCGGCCAGGGGCGGGGGCCTGGGGCCCAACGGGCACCAGCGCGGTGAATGGGCCCTTGTGAGGCTCGGCGCGGTCCCGCGGGGYCTGGCCCTGTAGAGGTGCCTCTCGCTTCCTGGCCCCAGCTGGCTCTGCAGGGGAGTTTTGGAGTGGACCTCACCATTCGCCGGCCTAGTCCCTTCCTGAGTCTAGGCCTCTGGAATCCTGTCATAGTGGGGGCTGAGGCAGAGGGAGACTGACCCACCGAAAGTGGGGCCACAGGACAGGTCCCTGGGGTTGGGTCTGGGGCAGCCGCTGGGGCCATCTTGGCATCCTGCATCCCTGGCTGCTAGGGCCATTAGACCCTCCGGCCGGTCCCTGGAGTGGGCGCTAGGTGGGGTTATGGCCGCGGAGATCTGCAGAGAAAACGGGAGCCTGTGACTGTGTCCCCTCATTACCTCCAGGACTTCGGAACCGGTCGCTGTCAGCGACCGCGCATTAATCTTTATCCAAGTGCTTGTAACGTTTCATTTATTTGCTACTGACTGTGACCCTTGTCTGAGAGCGCTGAGGTGGAGTGGGTGCAGCAGATCCAGCAGAGGGAGCCCCAGGAGCTGGGTCTGTGGACCGAGGACTGGGCCCAGGCTCTGCTCCAGGGTGTGAGGGAGCGGAGAAGGACACGCTGGGAACCTGAAGAAGGGGTGCTGTCCCCACCTGCTGGGCAGGGGTCATCACTAAGCTGTGACTCATCTGTCAGTGGTCAAGCCAGACTGCACTGTCTACCACGGTGACCTCACCTGCCTGCCATCCCAGACAAATCAGAGCTGTCTTGCAGGCCCTCTGGGGGCACATGTCCTGGGACCTGGACCCTAACCCTAACCCTAACCCTTGGACCTTGGCTAGAGGCTGCAGTGGACTCCCAGGGGGAGGACTAGTGCCTGGGTTGGACAGTGGCAGACCTTGGCTGGCTCTCCTAACTCTTTACTGAGCTGGCCCCAGACCCCTGAGCACCAGCACCCTTACCTAGGCCCCCCTCAGGCTGCCAGTTTTCCACCACCAAACCCAGACCAGTTTCCTGCAGGCTCATCCTGCTCCTCCAAGCTGCTGTTAGAAACCTCACCTCACCCACTCCCTGGAAGCCCATCTGCTCTAGCCCCTTCCCATGGGCTTCCAAGCCACTGCCCAGCTGGGCACCCCTCCTCTTGCTGGGAGCCCCTGCAGCCCTCTAGCCAGTCTCTGGCTCCTGCTCTGACTCCAATTCACTGCCACAGGGACCCTTCCAAAATGTCCCTGTGATGCTCTGCTCAGAACTCTGCAAGGGCTCCTACTTCAGTCCGTCAATGTCCCATCCTCACATGGGCACAAGACCCCCCAAAACACACCTTGTTCATTCTGCCTGAGCCCCTACCATGAGCTCACGCCTACCTCAGGGCCTTTGCATGTGTGTACATCACTGGCGTGTCTTGTCACCTGGCAGGCCTTTGATGTTACTCTGACAGGTCCTCTCTCTTGACCCTTTGCCCCCTTCGCTCGCACTCCTGTCACATCCCCTCCAACAAACATCTGACGGCCTATTAAAGATCCACATGGTTGTCTGATGATACCCGTCCCTCTTGAACCTGAGCCCTGTGAGAATCCGTCTGGACTGAGGGTGTGGGGAGACCCTCCACCTTCCTGACTTGCCCATTCAGTTGCTTCTTGGGAGGATGGGAGGATGGTGAGGGTGCCAAATGTGGGGCCCTTGTCTCCAGGAGGTGCCGAGAACCAGGTTCTGCCTGGCACTGTACCAGTCCTCTGCTCCAGGCCAGCCATCCTCAGGACGCCCCCCCAGTCCTGTTGTGTGGCTCCTGCCCGGCTTCCTGCCCCTCCACCCCAGGCTCCCATTTCTGAAAGGCTTGGACACATGAGGACCCTGGTGGATACCAGGCTGTGGGTGACAGGCTTCCACAGTGTTGGTGTTCCAGAGGGACGGGCGTGGGCACCCTGGAGACACGTTCAGCCTGGCACCTTATGGTTCCCTCCCTGCCTGGGAGCGGCAGTGGTCCCAGCCCAGGGCTGCCAGATGCCTGGCTGTCCCCAGCACCTCCTCTCCTTCAGCCAGGGGTCGGCCGGGCAGGGCCTGAGCTACAACTTCACCCACCTGGACGGGTATCTGGACCTCCTCCAAGAGAACCAGCTGCTGCCTGGTAAGCAGGGACAAGCCCCCTGCAGACACCCTGGGTCCTCCCTGGCAGTGGTGGCCTGGGCTGCCTTGGGACTGGGTGGGCTGCTGGAACTATGCAGGCAGTGGGGCAGCTGCCTGCTGTGTCTCAGGCTTTGAGCTGATGGGAAGCCCTTCAGGACGCTTCAATGACTTTGAGGACAAGCTGCAGGTGGTGAAGTGGAGGGACCTGGTCTCTCTCCTGGCCAGGAGATACATAGGTGTGTGGGAGGGCATGCCCTGGGGCCTGGAGGCTCCCCTTCCCCTTCACCCAGGCCCCCTCCTGTCATGGCTCCTGGGCTTCCTGGGGTGGGGGCTCACCTTCAGATCTCCAGTCCTGGGGACCCCTGGGAGGCGGGTGGCACTCACGCTCTCTGGATGGAGGTGGACACTCTGCAGGTAGGTACGGACTAGCACAGGTTTCTAAGTGGAACTTCGAGACATGGAATGAGCCAGACCACAAGGATTTTGACAACGTGTCCATGACCACTCAAGGTGTGTGGCATGCTTCGGTCCCACCATGTGGGGCGGGCTTGAGGGGGGCCCTGTGCCCACAGACCCTCCTGACCCCTGGACCCACGGGCTCCAGGCTTCCTGAACTACTATGATGCCTGCTCTGAGGGTCTGAGGGCTGCCAGCCCTGCCCTACGGCTGGGTGGCCCCGGCGACTCCTTCCACCCGCCCCCGCGGTCCCCGCTCTGCTGGAGCCTCCTGGGGCACTGTGCCAACGGCACCAACTTCTTCACTGGCGAGGTGGGCGTGCGTCTGGACTACATCTCCCTGCACAAGAAGGTGTGTGCTGTGCCCAGCCCCCCTCAGCCAGGCTCGCAGCTGCGGTGCTGAGGCCGGTGCTGCCGCAGGGCAAAGGCAGCTCCATCGGCATCCTGGAGCAGGAGGTGGCCACCGTGCAGCAGATCCAGCAGCTCTTCCCCACGTTCAAGGATACCCCCATCTACAACGATGAGGCAGACCCGCTGGTGGGCTGGTCACAGCCACAGCCATGGAGGGCTGACGTGACCTACGCAGCCATGGTGGTGAAGGTGGGCCCACCCTGTAGCTGCTGAGTCCACCAGGCCAGCCAGCTGACCTTCCAGGGTGGGGTGAGCAGGTGGCCCTCCACGACCCTGCTGTCCTGGGCCCCCGCAGGTCATCGCCCAGCACCAGAACCTGCTGGTCGCCAACTCCAGCTCCCCAGTCTGCTATGCTCTCCTGAGCAATGACAACGCCTTCCTGAGCTACCACCCGCACCCCTTCTCCCAGCGCACGCTGACTGCCCGCTTCCAGGTGAACAACACCCACCCGCCCCACGTGCAGCTGCTGCGAAAGCCAGTTCTCACAGCCATGGGGCTGCTGGCCCTGCTGGGTGAGCTCTCCTTGTTGCTCCTGTGTGTGTTCGGTCAGACTGGAAACAGACCTGCCCCCTGGCATGTTCCCTCTGAGATGGGTAAGGCCAGAGAAGGCCCTGAGCCCCTGACCCAGGCTTTACCTAGTTAGGGTATCTTCCAGGGCCAGGAGTGTCCTGTACAAAGGCCCTGAGGCACGGGAAGCACACTTCCTGCTGTGCCTATGTCTTGGGGCTTAGTCCTCCTAAGTTTCTGCCCCCATCCCCTCTGGTTCTATGGCCGAGAGGTGTGAGGACAGCAAGAGGAGGAGCACATGGTGGGAAGGCAGGCCGAGGGGCAGCTACCGCACATGGTGACAGCCCCACACCCCCACCCTGGGCCCTGTAGATGGAGAGCAGCTCTGGGCAGAGGTGTCCCGACACAGGGTGGTGCTGGACAGCAACCACACAGTGGGCGTCCTGGCCAGTGCCCACCACCCTAAGGGCCCCACTGACGCCTGGCGTGCCACCATGCTGGTCTATGCAAGCRATGACACCCACGCCCACCCCAACCGCAGCATCCGCGTGACCCTGCGCTTGGATGGGGTTCCTCCCCACCCAGGTGAGCGGTGCCCAGGGAGGGCAGGCAGGAGGGGGCGGGGCAGGTGAGATGAGCCCCAGCGTCCCACCCGCAGGGCTTCTCTACGTCACATACCACCTGGACAACCGTCTCTGCAGCCCCCACAGCGAGTGGCAGCGCATGGGCCGGCCGGTCTTCCCCTCCGCGGAGCAGTTCCGCCGCATGCGCTTAGCTGAGGTCTGTGGGCCCTGGGTGTCACCGAGACCTGTGGTCAGGGGGGCTTCTCTCACCTGGGCCCCTCTGTTGTCCCCAGGACCCTGTGGTTGCAGAGCCGCGCCCCTTCCCTGTCGGCGGCAGCCTGACACTGCATCCTGAGCTTGCGCTGCCTTCGCTCCTTCTGGTGCACGTGTGTGCGCGCCCCGAGAAGCCTCCTGGCCAGGCAAGTGACACCCCTGCCCCGCCAGCAGCTGCCCACTCCCTCCACACCCTGCCATAGTCCCTCTCTCCCCGCAGGTCACCCGCCTCCGTGTCCTGCCCTTGACCCGAGGGCAGCTGGCTCTGGTCTGGTCGGATGAGCGCGTGGGCTCCAAGTGCGTGACTGGGGCCACTGCCCCTCCTCAGTGTGGCCCTGCAGAGGCCCACCTGGTCTTCCCCCTGCAGAGTTCCCAATGCCCTCCGCAAGGCAGACCAATGGCCTGTCCTCTGCCCTTCAACGGCCCCCATCGCACATGCGCTCCCCTGCACACAGCCACCCTGGACTGCGCACCTGTCTTGGAGAGCTGGGCCCCTGCAGGGGACACTGAGAGCCTTAGCTGGGCCGTTGTCCTCTGCCCTCAGCTCCTGTGGCCTGTCCCTGTAGGAAGAATGCCCAGGGTGCTGGACTGGGGACATGCCAGTAAGGGGCTGGAGGGCTATGGACACACCCTACCCTGCCCACTCAGACTCAGGGGCCACCCTGACCCCCACCTCCCCAGGTGCCTGTGGACTTATGAGATCCAGTTCTCCCTGGATGGTGAGGTGTACACCCCGGTCAGCAGGAGGCCATCCACTTTTAACCTCTTTGTGTTCAGCCCAGGTACACCTAACACCCACGGCTCTGGGTTTCAGCACACCACTGGGTGCCGTGGGGCAGGGGGTTTCGGGGACTCAGGTGGGTTCAGGTGGACACACGCTCCATAACACATGTACCTTTGTGTCTCCAGACACAGCTGCTGTTTCTGGCTCCTACCGCGTGCGAGCACTGGACTACTGGGCCCGGCCGGGCCCCTTCTCTGACCCCGTACCATACCTGGAGGTGCCTGCCTCATGAGGGACCCATGAGCCTGGTGAACTGCTGGCTGGTCATAGGGTGCCAGCTCTTTTGTCTCCCACCTCACAGTTTAAAGAGCCTTTCTACATCACAGTGTTGGGTCAGCTTCTGGACGGACACTGGGTCAAGTGGGGACTGGCACCAGGGAAAGAGGACAGGGCTGGTGGAGAGCAGGTGGAGCCTGGCCTTTGCCTGCCTCCTCCCAACAAGGACTCCAGCCCGCCAGGTGGAGCTGCTGGTGAGGGCTACCAGGTGGAGATGCCTGTCCTGCCCACCAGGGGTCCCTGGTGTCCCCCTGGGGAGGCAGCCCCCACTCCTGCTCCCCGCCTTCCTCCTCATTCTGCAGAATGGGGCACTGAGGCTACTCCAAGGAGGAGCATCTGCAGGGCACCATGGTGGAGGGTGGGACAGGGCATTCCTGCCCATGCCAGACTGTGGTCAGCAGCAGAAAAGACTGCTGTCTCCACCTCCCCAGGTCCTCTGGGCCCAGGAAGAAACGAGTGAGGACACTCACTCTGCAGAGAGGCAGGTGGGGGCAGCTGCCGAGCAGAGGAGCACCAGCAGGTCCAGACAGAAGGCTGCAAAGAAAGGTCACCGTCCAGGAGCAGCGAGCTCCACCGAGGGACGTGGCCCCAGCCCCTCTCCAGTGCCCACTATGGCTGCCTTTGGCTAAGAGAGCTGTCTTCAGTGGAGGATAGAGGCGCGGGAGCCAGCATGTCTTCTGGGGTTGTCCTGCAGCTAAGTGCAGAGCTCRCGTCCAGGCTGATGGAGGGCTCAGCAGGGCTCCTTCCCCAGCCAGGTCCCAGGGCCAGCCAGGCCTGGGGTCGCTGGGTCCCCACCCTCCAGCCTCTGGACATGTCGCCTTTGGCCCTTGCTTTTGGGGCTCAGGCTTCAAGCCATGCCAAGAGCCAGGGGTGTCCATGCTGTCCCTGTTACCATGGCCACTGCAGAAGCCTAGTATCTGACACGATGTTTGTGAGGGTCACAGCAGAGTGGATGCCCTGGGACAAATGTGGGCATTTCTGAGGCACAGGCCCTGGCCCGTCCTGGCAGCCCATGCACTGTCTCCCCAGGCCTGCCAGTCCCCAGCCTCCTTCCTCTCTGGGTCTGGCCAGCAGTCAGCCTTTTGGATGCTGCTGTTGGAGAGCCAAACTTGGGTGGGGTGTGCCCTTTCCCAGGGCCAGGCCCAGTGGGCTAGGACACAGCCTCTGTCCCCTTCTGGGTGGCCTGCTGGACACAGCGCTATAAGCCACTTCTGCACGTGTGCCTTCCCTCCCGCAGCAGTGGGAGGGCATGTGAAGCCCAGGCTGCTTGTGGGAGAGGCTCCACCTGCCYGCATGTGGCACATCACAGTGCACATGCGTGCCCTCGGCTGGCACTGCCCTTTGGGCCAAGTGGAGACTGGTGTTGGGGCTTCACCAGGGCTCAGTGGTGAATCCAGAGCTGCTTTCCAGGGGGACTTCATGGGACAGGAGGAAGTAGCCTGCACTAGGAGGTAGGGTCTGGATTGCTGGCAGTTCTGTCTGCTGGCTGTGTTGGCCTGAGGGCCACCTGTCCAGCAGTGTCGCAGGCCAGGCCTGTGGAGCCTTTTCCTGCCAGCATTACCTGTTGTCCAGGAGGTGGTGGGGGTGGGATGTGAAACTAGGTACACAGGGGCACCCAGAACCAAGCCCCCCAGGCCTTGCCTCTGAGAGGTGGAGCGAGGCACAGAGACATCTAAGTGGGCTCTCCTGGACTCCCCTGAGCTCCCACCCTATGGAACGCACACCTTCCTGAGGCAGGGAGGGTGTGTGCAGTCTCCTGCCCCAGGTCCAGCCAGCATCGCCCTGACCCGGTTGGATGCACTGTGGCAGGAGAGTGGCATAGAGGCTCCTGCTAGGCAAGGACAGAGGAGCATCTGCCTGTGACAGCTGCAGGCCAGGGCCAGGTCCTTAGGCGCTGCAATCCTCCAGTCTTCAACCACCGCCCGGCCAGCTGGGGCCCACTGGAGGCCCCACTCTGCCTCCTGAATGAGCGCAGGCCCGGCCAGAGTGTCCACAAGCCCACAGCCTCCACACAGGGCTGCTGCAGACGCCCTGCCCCACTCTGAGCCCTGAGTCACATGGTCTCTGGGAGGGGACTGGAGTGGTTCAGAGCCCTGTCTTCCAGGCAGTCACTACTACACCGTGGCTTAAACCAGAGACTACTTCCAGGTCCTCCTCGGGGACCCGCCCCTCCACCCGGCTCAGGTACAGGGATCTGCTCAGGTGGGAGGCCTCGGAGCCATGGGGGCATCAGGGTCCCAGCATTACCGGCTGCCATCAGTCATTCTAGGGACCTCTCATGTCTCTCATGGTCTCCAAGCCACAGGCCCCTGAAGGCATATCACTCTGGAAGTGCTGGTGTCCTGTTCAAGTCAGGAGGACTCGGCCCTCTGTCAGGCTCTGGTGCTGCTGGTCCTGGGCCATGACAGCGGCCCTGAAGTGCAGGACTCTGGCCTCCTGCCCCTTGCTGTTCCAGGTGCTCAGGTCAGCCCAAGCCAGAGGCCCGCACTGTTCAGGTGGCGAGGCGGTGGCCCTCCACCTGCAGAGCCACAAGGCTCCTGAGAGCCCCAAGGCCTGGCACCTACTCCCTTTCTGTAACCCTCTCTCCTGGCCTTACTGGGGGCAGAGGAGGGATGGCACCCTCCTCAGGTGGCTGCCTGGGGACAGACAAGCTCTCTCCTGGGGCTGCCTCCCCTTTCCCTGAAGGTGAGCAGGTCCAGCCTTAAGCTGGGTGCCCACCTGGCAGCACAGGTGGCCCTGGAGCCCCAGTCTTCAGCTGCCCCTTCGCACTCCACTCCACTTCTTCTTTCTTGGGGAGTCCTCCCGTTGCCAGGGCAACCGTCCCTCTACCTGTACTTCCTCCAGCACCACTGATAACTGAGGCTGGTCCCCTGCAGGGTGGCCCTGGCCTCACACCCAGAGCCACCTGGCCTGAGAGCCCCCTTCATAGGTCCTGGGTTGCTCGTGATTCCAGGCCCAGCTAGGCGGAGAGGGCCAGGGAGGAGCTAAGCTGGCCGGGAGCAGCCTGGGCATGGGTGTGCCCACCTCCCTGCTTGGCTCACCAGGACTGGCTGGGACTGTGGGTGGGGTCTCACTCTGGCATGGCAATCCTGCAGGGCTGCCCTAGAGGGAACACCCTCCCAGGGCTGCGGAGGCCTGGGTGCAGCCCCAGATCTGCATATCGTCCTTTTCCTTGGCCCTCAGCCAGGGCCACCAGGACAAGGCCTGCGCTGCCCTCTCAGGGTGACCCCAGGCAGCCCAGCCCCAGGTTGGAGCTTCCCTGCTTCCCTTCTGTTGGGGCGTCCCACCTGGTGGACACCTGTAGGATATTCCCAGAGACCCCACAGGGCCCAGGTGGGCAGTGCACACCCCCCTGCAGCAGCCCAGGTGGGGAAGGCAACAGCAGGAGTGGTGGGCAGCACTGGACCTGTGCCTGGGGGCCTCTTGCTGCCCATTCCTTTGTGGCACCTAGTATGTAGCCTGGAGGATTCCCTATCCTAAAGCTGATCACCAAGGTCCCAGGAGCAGGGCCTATGGGGTCACAGAGGCTGCGGATGGGCCTTGACCACCTGGGCTGCTGAGTGGGGGTGTGCATTCTCCAGACAACAGAAACACTCCAGGCAGCACCTTTGCCAATGGCCCTGGTGGGAATAGGCCTGGGCAGGCCAGGAGTCTCCAGGTGGGAGACCTGAAAGATGTACCACCCGTCAGCCCCCAAGCCAGTGTCCTCTCTGGCCCCAGGCAGAGATTCAGCTCAGGCCAGGGGACATGTCTTCTGGGGCTTGGGGCTGAGCCCAGAGCTGGTAGGGTCTGTTCAACCTGCTGTCCTGTCCAGTAGTCTAGAACACACCCTGACCAGTTGTGAGGCAGGTCTGGTGTCACACACACAGCCCTGTGGGTAAGACTGACCAGAGAGTCCGTCCTGGGCAGCCAGGCTGCCAACACAGATCAGCAGAGACTCGTGGCTTCAGAGATGGGCATCAACCACCCCCAGCTGTGGAGGCTGGACGTCCGGCTGAGGAAGCAATCCTGGGCCCTGCAAGGCCCACCTCGCGGCCTGTGGATGGTGCCCTGTCCCTCTTCATGTCTCTTCCTCTTCTCATCCCACGGGGGCTAGGGCTCGGCACAGAAGCTGGGGGACACAGACTCTCAGCCACAACAGGGCTCTGGGACAGGGCTCTGAAGTGCTAGGCCTCTGACAGGGGCTGCTTGGCGCACTGGCTCGGGGCACAGAAGCACCCATGAGTCCTGGCCTTGATCCAGATGACTTTCCCATCACCCCAAAGTTGTCTTAGGCCATTCCATCCTCCTGCCTCACCCTTTCACCCCTCCCCATTTCCACAGCCCCTTTCTGTCACCAGAGATCAATGCACCTTTAGTGTCTGGGTGCAGCGGCCACACTGTGGTCCCCACTCCTCAGGAGGCTGAGGCAGGAGGAGCATTAGAACCCAGGAGTCAGCAGCCTTCTCCTGTGAATTGGCTGCCATGCAGCCACACGGTCCTCGCTGTGGTCTGAGTTCCGCAGACCCACCCCCTAGTCGGCGAGAGTGCTGTGGGTGGGAGCAACGTGTCTGCCTTCTCCTGCTGACACCTTGGGTTGGCTCTGGCTAGGGCACGACATGGGCAGTGGCCCTGCACCTTGGGTTCTGGGTGGTGAATGCCAGTGGAAGGGTTGGGTCACTCCACTGAACATGCAGACTCCCGTGCTCCCCAGCTACGCCTGGGAGTCGCTTGCTGCTGTTCCTGAGGGGTGCCGTGTGAGGGTCTAGYGCCCTGACGTGCGAGAGCTCATGAGTTCTATTGGCGTCCTGTAGATCCCATGGCGTTCTCTGCACAGCTGGCCTTGGCATTTACAAATCAGAGTCATTGCCTGCCCCTCTCCACATGGGTCATGTTTTCCCTTGCCCTCACTGCACTGGCCAAGAACAGACACCATGGTTGCAATGTCAGTGGGAAGTGCCGCGACCCCTCGCCAGCAAAGGAAACACRACACAGGATTCTTCCTTCAGCACTTTATTCAGGCCTTTGTTTTGACATGTCTTTTTGCTTGTTTCTCCCTCTACTC